TACAGCTGTGCGGCCTTTTTTGCAACCCGCGTGCCTGGGTGCCTCGCTCCTACGAGTAGGGACCTACCCTAGGTGGATGCGGGTGCGTTAGCTAGCGTCTCGGCAGGTGAGGGAAGGCGCGCCTGCAAGCTCATGTCTGGTACTTTCCAGTTGTGCAGTGACAAAACAACCAGGACCTGAGAGGTTGTTTTGTACTTGTGTTGCAGCTTCTTTTCTTCCCTTTCCTTTTTTGTCCCGCCATTATCCAGGCAATGTCTTGCTGTGCTGTCGCTTTACGGCAATGATAGCCGCGGGTGCTGTCAGGGGGCCAGTTGAATACGACAAAGCCGCGTCACTTACCAAGACGAGAGGTCACAACTCTCATCACTTGCCGCACACGCACGGCATGATACGGAGCAGATTGGCAATTTGGCTTTAGCCCTGCAACTGGGCCACCTCTGGTCACCGCGGCGTCGACTATCCGACTCGAGATAGATTGCGGCACTTGTTTAGCAACTGATTCATGGACACTCAATGGACTCGGGCGGCCAGTCTGTAGTCATTGTACAGAACATGTACACCCGACAGCCAAAGTGGAAAACATGCCATGCATCTGGAGCCAGTTGTGCCAGTCAGCGACTGGCAACTTACTTTCAGCCTCACTCTGCCATTCAACCAGACTGCTAGTGTCGTTGGTTAAATTGTTGGGAGCAAACGGAACCTAACATCGAGGAATGTCTAAGCTAACGTAGATGAAAGTCTTGCCGCCAAAGGGCACTGCGAACACCACCCAAACGAGTAAAAACACCAAATGAATCACCAGACTAACAGGATCAAAAGATACAGTATGCAACTTGTCGCATCTGCCCGCCTGGATGCCCACGTCATATCACCATAGCCCGACCATTTTCCGACTTGCCACAAAGAGGGGATCGGCCTCAGCCATCAAACGTGGCCTGCCCCACCACCTTTGTTGTCTTGAGACTCGGGAATGCACTTCTTCACATGATGCAGCATAAGAGTTGAGCCACTATGGTTAATGGCCGCTCCCTACGGCGATGTGACGAATTATCCCTAGCGGAACTAGCGACTTCCTCACATCCAAGGCTCTGAGATGGTCTTGTCTGTTGATTTCACTGTTACATTAACCCACAATATGTATATCCGCAGGGCCTCGATGGATGAGAGGTACTGGGATCCGCCAGCAACGGAGGCTGAGCTCTGGTCGCGTTATTCATCTTAGCTGCCTGTCAATCTTGCACAATACGCAAGTCTGCATGTATGTATTAACGAACACGGACTACTTCAAGCGTCTGTCCCTGCCAGGCGCTAAGCCACCTTTTTGAGGTACTTGCTTGCGTGCTTGCGTCTGCACATTGGCAAACTCCAGCGTTCCTAACAATCCCCGAACCATGAACCAAGAGAATTGCGCCGGCTCTTCCGATGTTTCGGCCATTGAATTTCTTGCAAGAGCACACTGTTCCGCTCGTAGCAACGGTTGTATTATTGCCCTTTTCTTGTTTACACGAAGCCGCTAAACACATGTGTCTTTCGTGCCGTTGTGCATGCATGGTCGTAAGAAGTTTATTGTTGGAATACAGGTCCTCGCTCTTGGCTTTTCACCGACCTACATGTTATAGTCAAAAAGGAATGGCCCAGACCCACGAATTACCAGAGGGCTGGTCTGTCAACCACTCTTTTCTATTCCGCCATGATAATCTGATGTCGGGCTCGTCACCAGGTGTGCTTTGTTCCGAACAATGCAGACGTAAAAAAACGAAACAAACCTCCTCGTACGCTGTTTCACCCACGTGTTATTGTTTCTTTGCGTGGAAAGTTTAAGCACATGGATGTTTTGGACAAGCTTCCAGAACCCCGCGAACAAGGCAACACACATATCAGTCCGTTCACGTGACATCAACTTGCCTAATTTGGCCAAAGTGTTAAGACGCTGATGCACAATCTTCCTTGGGGAGGGTGGACAAAAAGGAGCATCCTGGAATAAACATCTGGCTCATCGAGATTCGTTCTGCCGAGAATTAGGACCAGAGCCGCAGCTGGAGCAGTACCGATGTTAGATAGAAAGCCAGTGCGTTAATCCCTGGTAATCCTTGATGACCCGTGGTATGGGCTACCTTGCCTATTTCTCAGTTTGTAGACGTGGCAGCTGGATAAGTCATCTTGTCCTGGATTTGAGAAGACAGGGCTGTTCCAACTTCTTCCGAGTCCACCTACCTAGGTACCCTAGGCAGTGCAGAAATGCTGCATGTGCTCATGACTACTCGGTACGGTGAGACTCTATATCTCCAAGCAGCACGGATCCCTCAAATCCAAATCCAGGCCCATCCTAACACTGCTACCCGAAATTTAGTCAAGGCGTGTTATGCACAACCACGGAGCTTTCTCATCGGCAACAAATTTCACCGCCCTTCCACGAGGCCTTTGCTCCCCCTCGAAAATGTAACCACCCCATGCTCGCCTCCTTCCAATGCGGGCTCCCACCTTGGAGATCGTGTTACCGACTGCTCGGTTGCGTCAGATCTTCCCTGTGCAACATCAATCAGCCCAAAATACCAGTATAAGTGACACACACAAAAACATAAAATAAAATAAAAGCCCGCCTCCGTCATCGGCCACACACTCCCCAGTCTCATTTCCCCTTAGATCCCAGCCAGCCAGTGTATTTAGTCAAACGACAACCAGAAAAATTGTCCGCTCCATAAATGAAGTCTCCCCATGCCCGTTCCACTACCCGGTACCATGCGCAAATCCTAAACCGGTATTCAGCCTCGCAAAAAACGTGAGTGTCAAGAATCCTGAGCAGAGGGGGCCTCTTGCGATCCCTTGTTCCAACGGCGTTTTTTGGGATTTTCTCTCGACTCTGCCCGTTTTGCAAAAGCCGCACTTTTTGGTCAACGGTGCTATGTTCCCCTGCCGTTTTCTCAGCCCACTTGACTTGGGCGTCCCCTGTTTAAACACGATGGCACAGGGTTTCGGGTTCGGTTTGTTGATTCCGGGGTCTTGGATAGGCTCTTTTTTTTTCTCGGCCCGGGCATTATATGTTGGTGTACTCCGTCTGCTCCGCCTTTGTGATGTTTTCTCTAGAAATAAATTGTTTTCGTTTTCCTCTCTCTCTTTCTCTTTTGTACACCACTTTTGTTCATTCGTGGCCAGGCGGGGGTTGAGAGCCTCGGACTGTTCAGTTTGAGAGAGTGCTTGTTCAAAGAGCCAGACGCGCGTCTTGCTCTGCTTCGCTGTCCATTCAAGTAAAGTTCGACCTTTGATCAGACTGTGTCCTGTCCCCAAAATCGGCTTGTCCTCTTGAGCGGTGTTTGAGCCATTCTGGAATATGCACTCTCAGCCACGGCACTGCATATTCGCACACTTCGTTAGCTTGACATCCTCTGAACATCTACGCTTGACCCATCATCCTCTTGTTCCTCATATCTCCCCACACAGCTTGATCCAGAAATCCAATATTCCACACGCATCTCCTCCGAAAACGGTTCCAAACAAAAACTCCCCATTACCCTGCCATAATGGCCTCCTCAAAGCCTTGTACGTTCCCAAAACTCCCATGGAGTGCTCTTCGGGGTGTCACCTGACTGCTCCGGGGGACACCGAATAGGACAGGTCTAAGCGCGATTGTCAAAATCGGTGAAGATCATGGTTGTCATTGGTTGATTATGGTGGGTCGAACCGTCGAATTGACCAATCAAGGCCCCGTTTTTCACCGAAAATGCGCAACTGGTGATGGTGTAAGTCGACGGTCCACGACAGAGCCTCCTTGAACGCCAAATTATAATCTCTCTTGTGTCAGGCAGAGTTTTTGAACCGACAAATCTCACACAGAATACCTGGGATCAATTGGGCATCTTCACCTTATTGCCATCTGATAGGAACCCCCCCTTCGTGTTCAATTCGTCCTAGAGCTAGCCAAAGGTCCCACTGCATCTCGTGACTTACACGGGGATATCAAACATGGATGCAAGCAGAAGCAGGGCGCATTCCCAAGTTGGGAAAGAAACCCCCCGTCTTTCATCCCCGGTTGTGGAAGAGGTGCCTTTCGATGAGATATTTGACTGGGCTCTTTACTGCGAGTCCACCGAGGAGCTAGAACCCTCCCGCCTCCCCGGCCATCAGACCCCGGGGAACTTGTCCAAGCTCATAACCCAATTCACTCCCACATCTCTTGATTTTGATATTGATAACTTTGCCATCGATGACCTTCGAACAGAGTTTTACAGAATGAAAGCTCCGTTCAGGTCTGACGATGACGCGGCTACCACTTCTGACTACTCCGGACACTCCCCCCCAGAACTGATCCAAGGAGGAGGAAGCACCTCTCCCTCGGACCACTCCGGATCTGTCTTTCTCGACCATGCCGAAGAGCGTCCCCACCCCTCTGATGTTACCCTTCGAGAAGTCCAAGCCCAGGACGATGAGTGGACTTATCCCCAGACTGACCTGGCTAAGGCTGCTCGTCGTGGATATCCTTCCCATATCCTCGTTCGAGGAGACTATGCTGGCCTCCAGACAAGCAAATCCGCTGGAACAAAGCGCCGCCGCTCCAGCAAAGATGTCGAGAAAAGGCCCAGGCAGCTCGTTGACCCTGTACAAACGGCAGACGTCCGGAAGAGTGGGGCGTGTGTGCCATGTCGAGTAACCAAGACCAGGGTGAGACACTATCACCCAACTCCACAGGCGGAATCTCTTGACTGACCACTTTGTCTTTTAGTGCCATGACAGCGGTGTTTGTCCTACATGCAGAAAGGCGTTCCCAAAGCATTCTCATCTGGTGTGCACTCGCATGACTCCTGCAATGGCTTGGCCAGTGATGGCCAAGGTGCCAGGTGTGTAGCTCTTCCCTTCTTGGACAATCCACCAACTCGTCAACCATGGATTAACATCAGCCCTAGACTTCTGGTCCAGCTATGCTGCAGAAGAGCAGTATCTGTGCTCTGGACCCCGGTTCTACACCGGGAGTGCCAGAGACATTTCCATCTTCTTCAGCAAGGACACCACTTCGTCGTCCTTGCATGCCACTGTTCAGGCATACAGACCCACTAACAACCATGATGAAGTTGGCAGCCCAAGGACTGTTGCCTTTCCCCGTGAGAAGGTACCTAGTCACCCGAAGCTACAGCGATGGGTTGAAGATCAAATCAAGCGAGAGCATGGCCCGCAGTTCAGCCAGGCTTTGCAGAACTTTTTGCTGGCTTACTCCAAGGAAGGGCTGAAGAAGCTTCCCAAGGTACGTGATAGGTAGTCCAGCTTGTTGATATCAAGGTAGCTGACAGCCAGGTAGTATGACTTGGTCAGAAAGGTCCATAAAATGAATTGCTTTTTCAGAATCTGGAAGATGCCGTCGTTTTGGTGCAGAGACCCTTCCAAAAACATTGCCAATCTTCCCGTATCTGTTCAAGCACAGCTGCGAAGCATCGCTCGGAAGGCGCTGGACCTCCTGGAGCATGATGTCTTGAAGTTGTTGGACGACTGCCTCAGCCAGCAAGGCTCGCCCAAGGCAGAGGAGAGGGTGGCAATTTGGGTGAGCATGTGGCAACTCATGCTGATGTACCGCGAGTTGTTGGCGGGATACAAAATCCATTTGGGTCATATGATGCAGGACCCAAGCTCGCCAGACGAATTCGGTAAGTTTCGATCGCTGAGGACATTGAGAACTCTGGCAGGCGAAACTAATCATCACATAAAAAGTCAGCTCTCAGACACACCAATACCAGCGTTTGGTCGACAACTTTTACCCTTTACTCACGATCTTCTATCATTATCAGTTCCGTACCAAGAAGAGCATTGAGTTGTCGTTCGACTGGCTCGATGAAATTTCTTCATCCTGTGTCCCGCGCGAAGACAAAGAGCTCATTCGCCGCTTCGGTCACCAGTTACTCGCCTCAAGAAAAGACTTGTGTAAGTTGCCCACGGGAACTTATCCAGCCCTCGCAAGTGATTCAACTGACAATATCGCAGACAGCTATATCAAGTCCACTTCGGAAACAGACGAGGTGGACAATATGCTTTGGACATTCGTCGTAGAGCACGAAATCAAAAAACTTAATGCTCGGAAGCGAAATCCCAAGGGATCGACATCTAAGTCGAAGAAGTCACACCGTGCTGACGATGAATATGATGATGAGTGAAAAAAAAAAAGGGGGGGGGGGGGGGGCCCTTCCCCCCG